TAATCAGCAAAAATGATGCGTTGGCATTGGACAAAGAAGCAGTAGAAACGTATCTTCAGCTTCTCGAGGAGCAGTGGGTCAGATTCGCTGACGCTCAACAAGAAGTAGAGTTGTTGTGCGGCGAAGAAAGTGCGCCGGTTGAAGAGCAATCACGCACGCAGGCAGAAGAGTGGTACATCACAGCAAAGGCGAATTTTAAACGCCTCATCGGAAGCCCTGAGCAACCGCGCCCTTCCACATCAACAGGTTTCATGTCCTCGCCAGTTCAACTGCCCAAGTTACAGCTGCCGACGTTCAGTGGAGACCCTACAAATTGGTTAGCCTTTTTCGACGCGTTCCAGTCGCTCGTACACACGAACGCGAGTTTGTCTGCTAGTCAAAAATTGCATTATTTGCGCAATTGTCTTCAAGGTGAGGCGCTCCAACTTGTAAGCAGTCTACAGATTTGTGATGGCAACTACAATGCTGCGTGGGATCTACTCACCACGCGTTACAAGGTTTTGCGTGTCATGGTTGATGGTCACTTCAAAGCAATTTTTGCAATTGAAAAGGCATCTGGAGATACTGGTAAGGCCATTAAGCAAGTTTTAAACGCTACCATGCAACACGTTGGCTCGCTACGTGCTTTAGGTCGGCCTGTGCAGTTTTGGGACGATTGGCTTGTCCACCTTACCGTTTCGAAGTTGGCTTACGAAACCCGGAAACAATGGGAGCTGTCATTGGTGAGGGATGTTTTACCTACTTTTGAAGAGTTGGTCGAGTTTTTGGAAACACGTGCGCGTTCGCTAGAGATGGTACCGACGAGTGGTGCGCTGTCAATCTCAGCGCAAGGAGCGCGCCAGCTCAGCAAAACTGCGGCGAAGACTACAACAAACGTGCTCCATGCGATTGGTGAGCAACACACCTCCTCATCCAACCTGGTTGATGCAGGAGCCAGTTCACCCTCATGTTTCCATTGCAACGCCAAACACAAAATTTACGCCTGCCCAACTTTCCGTAAATTAAATGCTGCTGCCCGGTTTGCATTGGTCAAGAAACATAACGTTTGTCTCAACTGTCTGAGCAAAGGCCACTTTCAAGCAAAATGTCGCAGTTTATCAACTTGTAACATATGCCGTCGTCGTCATCATACATTACTACACGGCTGCCGCGAAGATGACACGACCAGCGATGAGCTGAATGTACACGCTTCTCCGTTCGTAAAGCAGCAAGGCAATCTACTTGTGCAACAATCGACTACGTCATCTAAAATCGATGACTCTACTACGGCGCGTATACATAATGCTAGCTCGGATGTACCGCATTCTGGTTGCGTAGCATCTCACGTCGCTGAAGCCGACAAGGCCATTTTATTGGCAACCGCAGAAATATATTTGCAAGATCATGCAGGGCGATGGCAACCTGCTCGGGTGTTGTTTGACAACGGCTCACATGCATCCTTCGTGACAGAGGCCTGTATTCAACGCCTCCGTCTACAAAGGAAACCTTCGGCAGCTCATGTCACAGGTATTGGTTCAACAGATGGCGGTAAAGTTAAGGGTGAGACTATTCTTTCACTTGCGCCCCGATCTCTTGACCAGCATTTCACAATCAACTCGCTTATTTTATCGAAGATTACAAACGATCTTCCCAGCGTTTGTGTACAGATGTCGTCTTGGCCGCACTTACGAAATCTTGCTCTTGCTGATCAGCATTACGCCAAACCTGGTCCTATTGATGTGTTAATAGGGATGGATGAGATGGATAAATTCCTGTTAACCGGTCTCTGCAAAGGGCCACCTGACACACCCATGGCGCAAAACTCAGTTTTCGGTTGGGTACTTTTCGGAAAGGCCATGCGTTCATCCAGCTCAAGTGCGGGAGTTTTATCCTTGCACTGTGATGTGCAACTCATCCGAATGGTGAGTAAGTTTTGGGAGCTCGAAGAGTTTCCCCCCAAGCGATACTTAACTGTCAAAGAGGACGCTTGTGAAGGGCATTTTCGCAAGCATTGTCGCCGCGCTGAAGACGGGCGTTACAGCGTACGCCTACCGTTAAAGGAATCCGTGCCTTTAGGTGAGTCGAGAAACATATCCGTAAGAAGTCTGCTAAGAATGGAAAAACGTTTCGCTGTTGATGAGGAGCTACGCCGTCAATACGCAGAATTTATGCAGGAGCTTTTAAATATGGGCCACATGGAGCTCGTAGGCAACGCTCAACCGCATAAAGGTTACTACATGCCACACCACGCTGTAGTAAAGAACACCAGCTCCACCACTAAACTGAGAGTGGTGTTCAACGCCTCATGTAAAACCACATCCGGTTTCTCGCTCAACGATGCACTAATGATAGGCCCGCAATTACAAGAGGATCTGTTTTCTATAATGGTGCGGTTCCGGACTCATCGTTATGCAATAATGGCCGATGTCGAAAAAAGTATCGACAGGTATACGTGGCAGAACAAGATGTGGACTACCAACGCATAGTTTGGCGTGACGACCCAACCGAACCTATTCGGGACTATCGCATGCTTCGCGTAACCTACGGCGTCGCCGCAGCTTCCCACTTGGCCGTACGATCTCTGCACCAATCCGCTTTGGATGCCATCGAAGCGCACAAAGAAGCAACTGTTGTCATCATGCGCGACTTCTACATGGATGATCTTCTCACAGGCTCATTTTCTGTCGACAACCTTATGAAGCTACAAAATGACGTTACCATAGTTCTGTCTAACGCTGGCTTCGAATTACGGAAGTGGGCCACAAATTGCGACGAGCTTAGGGAGAAAATACCGCATGCGTCAAAGCACATTTCACATCTGTTAGCTGACGGCGATGAAGTACGCACCCTAGGAATCATTTGGAACACAAGCGACGATTGTTTATCGATTGCAGCGAATTTGACCCCACTGCCTGCAATTCTCACGAAAAGAGTTTTTCTCTCAGATTCGAGTAAAGTTTTCGACCCACTCGGGCTAATCGTGCCGTGCACTATACTCTCGAAAATTTGGCTACAGCGAATCTGGCGAGCGGA